GGCAGGTAGAAAAAAGTACGAATGTACCAAGGAGAAGAGGGACACAGCCACATTCTCCAGATAGGTACCCTCTAGCCTGAGAGGGCTACCCTCTAGCTATAAACTTTCAGGCATTAGGCAGCGTTTGCACCCAGGCAAGCCAAACTCAGAACCAAATGAGCTCCCCATCCCAACTCTTTTTCCCAAATCAGCCAAAGGTAAATCCAATATCTTGCTTCCCAAGCCAATTTCCCACACGTCCCAATGTCCTTATTGTATCTACGAAATTCTTCATTAGCTATCTCAAATGCCACCAATTTCCAGAGGCCTTCTCTGAACCCAGACCAACAGTAGCCTTTTTTTTTTTTTTTAACCAACGCCAGGGACAAGATACGTAAATTCCTGATTCATCTCAGGACAGATTAGCTAAAGGGCCTCAGCTTACCCACCTCTACAATGGATTCGCAAAACCCACTAATACAAGCACAGAGAAGGCACAGGAAGTTGGGAAGGGACTGTTTCCCGGGGACCTAGGCTTAGGATCCATGAAGCTGTAAAGGTCTGACAGTACGGAGAGATGGAAGAGATGGGAACACGTCAGCTGGACGGCTGCATGCTCAACCCCAGGCCAGCACTGTGTAGAGACCTGGGACTTCAAAAGGGGTAGGAGTTCGGCTAGGCGTCCTCGCTGTAATCTGTCCCCTCCAGGCCTCCGTACTCAGTGAGCCCCTCGGTACAGCTCGCCCTCCTCTCCAGGTCTTTTTGGGGCCCCAAGCCTCAGGGTCTTAGCCCTCACTCCCGAGCCCCGCCTGCCGCGGCCGCACCTGGTCCGAATCCTCGTTTTCGCTGCTGTAGCAGCACCCCATGGCCGGGGTCGGGCCGGGCGCTCAGGCCGCGCGGAGGAGGGACGGCGTCCGTCAAGAGCCCTTCCGGTCACATGACCTGAGGCTGCCTCCCGCAAGCAACCTGCCTTTCTCTCCGGGCCTACAGCGTCCCAGAGCCGCTTGGGCTCCACTGCCAAAACCCTGACTTCCGGTCCCGCCCCCAGCCCCGTGATCATAGCCACCCAATGAGAAGGCGCACCCTACGTGACAAGATACGAGACACGTGATACTAGGAAAGAGAGGGGTGTGTCATATGACTATCATCTCAGTCTCAAACTGGAATCATCTCCACCCCTGGCCGTAGTGCCCTTCTTGTGAGTTGCGCTGTGATCGCATGGCCCCCTAGGCCACCTTTTTGGGCCAGTGAGTGAACTCATGTAAATGCTCCATGATGCACTTCTTGGTTTTGCTTTGGTACTGTTGATTGAACCCATCGATGGTTTATCACTGAGCTAAATCTCCAGCCCTTTTTATTTTTGATACAGGGTCTTGAAAAATTGCTGAAGTTGGCCTCCAACTTGACATCTTCCTTCGGCTTCCCAAATCAGTGGCATTACAGACTTGTGCCCCACACCGAGCTTGTCACCATACATTTTTAACTGCCATGCGAGCCGCGAATGGGATCCAGACCCCATTCTTGTAGATCATACAGTTGGTGCGCACACGTAGGCTCTATATGCCTGATGCCCGTGGGATGAGGGGTTTACGCCTTTACAAGATAAATAGGAGTAGAGACCATCCCGGTAGAGGCGGTAGAGGCTCTAGACCCACATGGTTGACCTTCTCCTCAGGCGTTTCTCTTCAATCCTAGCTTTTCACAGTAGCCACAGTAATCTAATTTACAAAGGTGGCCTTAGATTTTCTGTAAAACCTTCCCAAAGGGGCTGCGGTTGTAGCTCAGTGGTAGAGCTCTTGCCTAGCATGTGTGAGGCAGGGTTCCAGGCTCAGCACCACAAAATGTGTCCATCCACAGCTAATAAATAAAGCCCTCCCAAGGCTGGAGATTTCGTTTGGTGCCTAGGATGTGACCCCCAGCAGCTTAAAAAAAAAAAAAAAAAAAAAAGCCTCCTGCCTTCTGTTGGGCCCTGGAAAGAGGTCCAAGTCTGTCATTCCAGATGATTCATTGCCTGGCATCTGCTTCCCACTCCATGCCATGCCCAGGGGAAATACTTCTAGTCCCCCCCACCATCTATTTTCTTTTTAGTATTGGGGATTGAACCTAGGGGTGCTTTACCACTGAACTACATTCTCAGCTCCTTATTTTGTGACAGGGTCTCACTGAGCCACCCAGGCTGGCCCTGAATTTGACATCCTCTTGTCTCAAGTCTCCCTAGTGGTTGGGATTACAGACTATACCTGGTTTCACTCACTTATTAAATCAACAAATGTTTACAGTGTTTTATCTGGATAGGCAGTAGTTAAAAAAAAAAAAAAAAAAACAGTCAAAAGTCCTTGTACTAGTGGAGCATCTAATCTAGGATCACAGCATATTGTCTTTTGTTGTTCCCAGATCAGTTTCTTCTATCAAACTTGGAGTTCCTGAAGGACAGGAACAGGTTCTAATTCTTCTCTGTGACCCAAGCCCTAACACTTGCTTAGAGAAAACTTGAATTTTGAATTGAGTAAATTCCATTCTATCACCTTGGCTCACACCATGTCCATGTCGTCATCACAGAAGTTGGAGAAATCACCAAACCTAGTAGCACTTGTTACCCTCAAATCAAGACCCTGGAGTTCTATACATTTTTTGAAGGCTCCTGACGGACAGGAGGCAGCTCCAGCTTGTCCCTGGGTCTGGTAACTGGAACTGCAGGTCTCAGATAACAACAGCAGCTTCAGCATCAATTATTGAAAACAGGTCCAGCTTCTTGTCTCAGGGTTACTTCCCCTAAGGACTTCCCCTCTGGTCCTGTACTCCGGTCTTCCCTAAGCAGGAGCTTCCAGCCCAGGTAAGCGGGCCTTCTGGGTTCACAAGCACACCCAGTTCATGTCCACTATCACTCACCTATTCACATCCATTCATATAGTGTTTTACCCACCTCCAACCAGGAGCTTTGAAAGAAGGCCTGCAAAGTCAGATCTGGAAGGGGAGGGTGGTCCAGAACATGGGAGAAGGACTTGGAGAAGAGGGCTGGGGGAGGGGAGTGTGTGTGATGTGTTTATGTGTATGTATGCACTTATAAAGGGAATTCTGAGAGATCACAGAGGAAGGGGAATATAAGAGGGAAGATAGGACTGGAGATGAAATATAGAATCAAGGACTCCTTCCATTCCCAGGGAAGAGTAAAGGGACAGTCTGGTGTGGGAAGACATCGCACTAACACCTTAGGAAGTGTTTTGATTACCTTTACTGAAGCAGCCCACAGTGACAGTGAAGTGTTTTTTGACTACAAAGCTTTGCTCTTTTGCAACACAGTAATGGGTCAGAAGAGACCCATAACATACCCCCACCATACTGTACAGTGGGATATGGTGGGGGTATGATATCCTAGGAGGAACTGAAGAAAGAAGTCCTGAAGAAGGGGTGACTTCAGGGATGAAGGGAAATGGGTTGTAGCAATGTGGAGATGGGACCAGAAGTCAGTAGTATTAAGAGGTGGTATGGGGTTGGGTGCTGAACATAGACAGTATGCCATCCTTTAAAGTACAGTGTTTTGGAATCATACCAACCTGGATTCAAATCCCAATTCTGTTGTGTGAGTCTGGGCAAAAGACTTAATCTTCCTTAGCCATGGCTTGTAAAATGTGAGCCTAATAATTGCTAGTGGCAAAGACCACGAATGACAAATTGTGGTGTGGGTTTCCCCTCCCTGCCTCCCTCCATCTCAGGCCCAGGTAGGGATCATGTCCCCTGCCATTGCACTGGCATTCCTGCCACTGGTGGTAACATTGCTGGTGCGATATCGGCACCACTTCCGACTGCTGCTGCGCACAGTCTTACTGAGGAGTTTCCAAGACTGCCTGTCAGGGATGCGGATTGAAGAGAGAGCCTTCAGCTATGTGCTCACCCATGCCCTACCTGGAGACCCTGGACACATCCTCACCACCCTGGACCACTGGAGTAGCCACTGCGAGTACCTGAGCCATATGGGGCCTGTCAAAGGTCAGTGTTACCTAGCCTTCTGCTCCAGGAAGTACCCCTAAGATCTGGGATTTGTCACTGCCTTACTTGGTGAATTGGGCAGGTTAGTGACCCTCTTTGGGTCTCTTTTTTCTGATCTGGGAATGAGAGACCTGCATTAAGTCATTCATTTATCCATCAAATATTTATTGCCATGTTATTTGTACCAGGCATGTGTTAAGTGCTGGGAGAGGAGGTAGAGGCCACAATAGAACCAGCCACAAATGCTGGACTCAAAGGGAGCAAAATACACGGAAGAATAACGTAACTCATTGCTTTCTAATTATCTGTGTCCCAGTCTTTCTTCCCTACCAAAGAGGCTTCTACATCTGATTCTACATCAGGAAAAGTGCCTACCTGGATTTATCTCAGACCCGACTCCCAGCACAAGTGCTTTCACAATCTTAAGAAATTCAAGATCACAAAGATATCCAATGAACAATAAAATGGGATGAAACAGGAAGCTTCTCAGGAGTCTCAAAGAAGGGATGGTTGCTTTTGCCTGGGCTCTCCTGGAGGAAGCCACATTTGAACTGAGTCTGGAAGGATTTGTTTCAGGTTTAACAGGTGGATAGGGAAAGGTGTAGAAAGGCAAAGCCAACCACAAATGCAAATGCAGCATGAAGGAATGAGACAGCATGGTTGATTCTGGGCAGTTGTTTCAGATGGCTGTTATATAGGTTATAGGTAGAAGAGCTGAGAACTGTAGCTGGAAAGGTAGGATAGGATCAGGTCTGAGAAGTTCCTAAACACCAGGGTGAGGTTCTCAAGTCCAGTCCTAAAAGCTTTTAGAATCATAGGAGCAGGGATTGATAAGATCAGATATGTTATATAGATTTCTAGTCTAGTGAAGACTAGACTAGCGGGGAGCAGTGCAGCTGTAGTTATGATCCAAGAGAAGTAGGATCTTAGGTGGTTGAAGCTGCAATGAGGCAGGTGGGCATTGAAGATATCTTTTCATGAGGAGCCCTGCATCCATCTCCCATGTGTTCTACAACAGCCCTCTCACCCTGTAGGTCAGATCCTGGTGCGGCTGGTGGAGGAGAAGGCTCCTGCTTGTGTGCTGGAGCTAGGCACCTACTGTGGATATTCCACCTTGCTTATTGCCTGTGCCCTGCCCCCTGGGGGTCGCCTTGTCACGGTGGAGCCGGACCCACGAACAGCAGCAGTAGCTGAAAAACTCATTCGCCTGGCTGGCTTCGATGAGCACACGGTCAGCCTCCCCATGCCCCTGACCCTGATCTTTTCTCTGCTACCCCAGGCCTTGCCCTAGCCAGGCCTCCCTTTTGAGGAATTCCCATTTAGGAAGAAGGAAGCAGCTTCACTTAGGCAGCTGGGATCCTGGAGGATGTGTGAGCTCCTATCATCTTGTCCCAAGTCACTTGCAAATATTTTCTTCTGCATGACAAAAAGTAGCAGCTAAGAGGAAGGTCTCCAGAGCCGAGCAAATATGAATCCAAATCTTAGCCTTCCTCTAGTTAGCTGTGAGTCCCTGGGCAAAGAACATATCCTCTGAATCTTAGTTTCTTTATAGGCAGAATGGAAATAACAATACTAATCCTGATTTCTTGGGTTCTAAGCACCTAGAAATGCCTAACATGAAGTAAGCCAGATCCTGGTTGGGTCCAGAGTGGGAAAGCAATCTGGCCAATCCTTACCTCCAGTACCTCCTACCCAACAGGTGGAGCTCATTGTTGGCAGCTCAGAGGAGGTGATCCCACGCCTACGAGCCCAGCACCAGCTGAGTCAGGCAGACCTTGTACTCCTGGCACATCGGCCCCGGTATTACTTGCGGGACCTACAGCTGCTAGAGGCCCATGCTCTGCTGCCAGCTGCTGCAACTGTCTTGGCTGACCACGTGCTCTTCCCTGGTGCGCCTCGCTTCCTACAGTATGCCAAGAGCTGTGGCCACTACCGCTGTCGGCTCCACCACACTGGCCTCCCAGACTTCCCAGCTATCAAGGATGGCATAGCCCAGCTTACCTATGCTGGACCTGGCTGAGGTCCAGGACCAGGGATATTTACCAACACTCCCTACCCCTGCCCAAGCAAGGACCTCAGAACATTTATTTCCTCCCTGTTCGGAGCCTGACATGTGCTGGGCTCAGAGCTGGGGGGCGTTTCTCCCTAACTTTACCCTTCCAGCCTCCACACTGACCCAAAGTGTCATATTCTATCAGGCTGCTTGGTTCCATTGGTCCCCCTCCTTCTGGAGAGATCCATGGATAGACAACAGTCCATGGGCCTGAGCCCCCAACCCAGCTCTGTCACTGGTTTGCTGGGTGACTCCAGGGGAGTCTTGCCCTGCTCAGAGATTTAATCCACTCTCTTAACATTAAAGTTGCTGGCTAGGAGAGCATGAGGGCTTCTCAGATCTGGGCTTCAGAAAGCCTCTCCTCCCTAGCCCATACCATTCTGCATGGAATCAGAGGAAAAAGCAGATAATGAGAGGCCTGAAGGATCGGCTTGGTGCCAAGTTGGGCCAGGAGAAATGACACAGGAGCTTAGGCGCAGGCTTCCCAAACCTGGCCCACTTGGCCAATTAGGTTTGCTTTATATCCCTTGAATGTCCCCTCCCCAAAGCCTAGGAAAAGATATGCACTCCTCTGGGCCCCACCAACAAATAGGGAATAGACATGGGGGAAAAGTCATTCCTGTGTCTTTATTAAAGAGAGTTAGAAAGAAACCAGACCTGGCAACCAAGGGGTGAGGTACTGACCAGGCAGGTGGGGTAGGCTCAGGCTCTGGGAATTCAAGGGCCAACTGATGGCCTAGGAGGGGTCAAGGAGACCAGGTTCTTGCAGCAGCTGAGGAAGTGCCCAAGGGTGAGCTTTTAGGCATTGGGGCCATCAGCTGGTTCTGCAGGCTGAGGGACTGGGGCAGGGATGTAGGGTAGGTTAGGCTGGCCTGGAATCGCCCTGAGGCCACCCTGCCTTGTCTACCTAGATCATCCACTGGTCCTGATCCTGTTCGTTGCCTTCCATGTCCACCTGGAGAGGAGGCTGGGTGTGGGTGGGGAGGGGCCTCAGCCAGCCTCAGCCCCAGATCTGGCCCTTGGATGAATCCAGGGTTTCTGTACCCGTTGGCCATTAATTAGGTAAGGGGCCCAGGAACAGAGGCCCTCCCCTACACTCCCACCTACCTCATTGACCTCTCCATCATCAGGTGACTCGTTATAGTCATTCATCTCGTCCATGTCCTGCATGTCCTCATCATCCTCTGAGTCCTCTTCACTGTCCTCATCATCTTCATCATCCTCCTCTTCCTCATCATCATAGTGCTGGTGGGGTAGGGGAAAGCCTGTAGGCCCTACAGGGCTGCCTGGACCAGTATAACAGCTGGCCAACTTGGAAACCTCCCTCTCCCTGACCTTGCCCCCACCTTGAGTTTAGCAGGCTGATAGATGTTCTACAGGACCTTGGTGTTAGGCCCAATGCCCACCCCATTAAGCTCCCCTTTTTAGCATTGGCCCACTCTGAGAACCACAATTGCACCAAGTCAGAAGCAGAACATTCAGAATTAGTACAGTTGTGATCCACCCTGGGTCTCACATAGGCCCCACTTGCAGGAGCCACTCACCTCTGAGGCTGGCTTGCCAATAGGTACCAGGTTGTTGTCTTTCTCTGCGATGCTTTGAAGCTGCAGGCAAAACAGGGAGGGGAAAGCAAGGCTAGGGCCCAAGCAGGACAGGTCAGGGACATGGGACTGGCCCACTCTGCCCTCAAGAAAACCATCAAGTGTTGGGGAAAAGCTTCTTTCCGGTTCTCAGGAAAATTCAATCCCTTTTCTCCCATTATCTGCCATGTATAAATCTGACTCAACTACTTAATCTCCTGGGCCTTGGTTTCTTCATATAATTATGATGAAGGTGAAGTGAGATAATTAACCTAAAACACGCCATCTGCTAGGTTCTGATAAATGATTAAAATTGCTAATTCCTGTGATTTGAGGAACAGAGCTTGGGCTGAGTGTCAGAAGCCTAAGTTCTAATCTGTCCCAGAATTTCCAGGGTCCCCAGCAAATCAGGGTACCATAAAGATGAGAATGTTGGTCCCCTGATTACCAGCCTGATTATTCCCAGCTAAGGACAAAAAAACTCTCCAGGGCAGGTCCTACAGTAAGGCTGGGTCCTGGCCAGAGGGAGGGATAGGGGATATGTTTCTGACTGTGCTATGCTTTGCTAGATCCTCACTCACCCAGGCCTGATGCTGCTGTTCCTGCTGCTGCAGCTCTGTCTCCTCCACACAGGGCCGATCCAGATTAAACCACAGTGTCTCAGTCACCCGGGGGAAGAGTGAAGGGAACAAGGTGGACATGGCTCCTAGACTGAGGGAAAGTGTTAGGTGAATGTGTTTTGTTTTAGTTTGGTTTTTATTTGGCTGTAATTTGATTTAGGGACGGGGTGGAGTGGAAGGTAGCAGGGAAGCAGGCCTTCCTTCTAGGAATCAGACAGACCTGGGTTTGAGTCCTGGCTCCACCACTCACTAGGTGTTTGACTTTTGCCAAGTCACTTAACCTCTCTGGGCCTGTTTCCTCATCTGCAAAATGGGGATAATAACAATTATATCACCCTAACAGTTATTCTGGTAAATAAAATAATGGATAAATCAAATCGTAGGCTGGTTGTTCAAGGAGGTAAGAGAATGGGAGCCAGGTGTAGAGATAGAATCCAGATTTTAAACTGGTATTACAAAATTAGGGAAAGCAGGGCTCTAATGAAATTTATGTCTACCCCATTCAAGCCCTAAAATTTACTTTTTGCCCCTTTATGATGGTCCATACCACACCCAACCAGTTCAAAACATTTGGGACACTAACCACTTCTTGATGGACCCGTCAAACTGGGGGCTTGCACCACGTGCTATCAGGGTCCAGTAAGCATTCTAAAAGGCATGAATAAATGAGTAAGCAGACGGAAGACTGAATGGATGAACTAATATTTAAGAGAACAAATCCAACTTTGTGAACTCAGCTGACCAGATAAATCCCAAAGGTTCTGATTTAAAACTTCTTAGCTCACAGACAGGAAAACTGAGACCCAGCGACAGGAAGATACTGGATTCAGGTCACAAGGTGAGTTGGGACTTAAAAAACTAGTGCAGGGAAGGAATCCAGGCCAGGCACTGAGGTGAGATGAAAAAAAAAAAAAAAAAGAGCTGTCTCGTTTTCTAGCTTTTGCCCTAACTTATTGACCGACCCAAGACCAGCTGCTGGCGTTCTCTCGACCAACGCCAAGCGCGTCCACTCTTGACACCTTAGAACTAACCCAAGGACAGAGATCTTGCCTCCGAAAACCTAACAGGCCACCGCCCAGTCTTTGCTCATTACGATAATGACCGTGCGGTTGACCAACAGGAAGAAGGCAGAGGCGGGACTCGGACAGGAGTTTGCCCTTATAGGGTCGCTAATCGTGAAAGGAGCGGGGTCTGGGTAGAGCCAATTAACTGAAAGAAATGCTGGGTGACAGGAAGTGACACCAATGAATGACGGGTCTTGTGTGAAAGGGTGGGGCTTAGTCTTGAGGAAGCGGCCAATGAGCAGAAGCTATTTACGGTTAAAGGAATCTGAACATGGAGCTCCTGGGGAGGCAAGTCAAAGGGCTGGGTTCCCCTGGGGGAAAGAGGAAAGAAGGAGCAAGAAGACGGCCGCAGCCCCGCTTTTGTACTTACCCCGCCGGAGGCGGCAGCCGGCGGCGACCCGGAAGCGCTTCCCCTAGCCTGAGCGGAAGAACCCACCAAAATCCGGGGACCCACCAAACGCATGCGTCCTTCGTGTCCTTTTGTTTCCCGCTCCCGCCCACCACACCGGAAGTGACGTTTGTATATTAGCCGGTACAAGGTGGAGAAGGAAATTTGCGGCGCCTACCTCTTGGCACCGCCTTGCGTTCCACCCAATCAGCTTTCCACCGTGACCCGGCCAGCAGGAACCCATTTATCCCCGCCCCTTCGTGGCCGGGCCGTATTTGCGCGCTAACCCAAAATGGTTACCGTCAACCTGCTTTGGTGTAAGGTCTTAGTCCTGGTGTGTCCCGGAAAATCTGCTTCTAGCCCAGAGTCGCTGGGTGATCTTACGCTTCTCCTATATGTCTTCTCGCAGACTTGGTTTCCCATTTGAACATATTCGTTATTTAATGTATGCCTTGAATAGAATTATTTGAGTCTTCACTGTATTCCAGGTTCTGTTAGAAGCTGGGGATAAATCTGTGAATATGGTCACTACCCCCAAAGACTTCACAGTCCAGTGGGGATATCAGACCCTGCACCTTGAGTGAATTCACTAATCTTTTAAGATTGCCTGTCCAGTTGTGATATTAGAGATTACATACATGGTTGAGGTATTGGTTAGCTTCAGGCACAGCACTCTGCTGCTGGGGAATTCTGCTGACCCTTTCGCGTCTGGACCAAATCTCAGAGGTCAATCTGGTCACCTCTTCCCCTCCTTAGGTGATGCATCTGTCTCAGCCTTCCCTTCAGACATCCTCACAGCTTCTGGTGGAAGAAACCCTTTAAACCCAGCTCCCATTAAACTATATCACCTGAATGATATGGACAGTAGGCCCCAGGGAGGGAATTTCCCTTACTGTTCCCCTACCTGCCCTCCTGTCTGGCCCTAAATTAGCCAAAACTCCTCCCACGACCAGGCTCTCCTGCCGCCCCCCCCCCCCCCCCGCCCCCCGCCCGACCTCGCCAAAGATGTGCCCCTCCAGTGCTGAATAAAGCATCGCTGGTCCTCTGAGGTCGGCCTCCATTTTCTTTTTCTTTTTGAATCCTCTTTCATTTGCTTTCATCACCTACTAGTCTCTTTTCAGGGCCAACAATCATCCACAGTTCCACTCCTGTCCCAACCAGTTGTGTAAACTTTGACCAGTCCTTTTCTATGTCTACATTCAGTTTCTTCTTTAACCAGCATCATAATCTGCCCAGCCTTCCTCCTGTCCTAGGCTGCTGTGAGATTTGAATGAGATTAACAGCTGTTCAACAAATTAAAACCTATGATGGACATTTAGTTCATTTAGTAATTTTCTTCAATATTTATTCCTCCCCTCCCACCACTTTTTTTTCCTTTCTGCTAAAAAAGAGCAGGATGAAATGAATAAGATGCCAGGTTTAGACAGCCACACCAAACTCTTAAATATCTCCTCATTTTCCTTGAGGCACCCTCTGTGTGCTCAGAAACTTAAGGTCTAAGAAGAAATCTTTTGGTTTTCCAAAATGCACACCTCTTTCCATTGATTTGTCCTTTACAAACATTGTACTCATTTTTTGTTTACTTACACTAAATAAATTTCTACAATAGAAGGAAAAAAAAAAGCTGTTCAAGAGGAGAGTACAGTGCCTAATGAAAGTGATTATGTTGCCAAGCCATTCCATAAGTCCAGTGGCTTGGGAGGCAAGATGATCACAAGTTCAAACCCAGCCTCAGCAACTTACCAAGATCCTGAGCAATTTAGTGAGAACCTGTCTCAAAATAAAAAGGGTTGGCCAGGCATAGTAGCCCACCCCTGTAATCCTAGAGGCTCAGGAGGCTGAGGCAGGAGGATCGTGAGTTCAAAGCCAGCCTCAGCAACTTAATGAGATCCTAAATAACTCAGCGAGATCCTGTCTCTAAATAAAATATTTAAAAGGGTTGGAGCCATTGCAGTGGCACCTGCCTGTAATCCCAGTGGCTCCAGAGGCAGGAGCATTGAGAGTTCAAAGCCAGCCTCAGCAATGGCAAGGCGCCAACCACCTCAGTGATACCCTGTCTAATAAAATACAAAATAGATCTGGGGATGAGACTCAGTGGTTGAATGCCCCTCAGTTCAATCCCTGGTAAACCCCCCTCAAAAAAAAATTAAAAACAGATTTTCATTATAGAATAAAATTTGCTTTCTTAGAAACATCCACCCTTTTCATTCATTCAACAAATACCTATTGAATGTTAATATGTAGATTCCATCACATATTCTAAGTAGTGACTATACAATAGTAAACAAAATAGATCAAAGAGTTCCTCATCATGAACTTCCATTTTAATGAGAGAGATAAACAATAAAGGAGCTAGATAAAATAGCTTTAAGATTGTAGTAAATACTGAGGGGGAAAAAGAAGTGAGAATAAAATATTGTTGGGGAGGTGTGTTAGATGGGCAAGCCACGGATGTCACTGCAAGGTATTGAGTAAAGGTCTGAAGGAAGAGATAGACTTCTGATATTTGGGGAAGGGTATTTCAGAGAGAGCAGCAAGTGCAAAGCAGGAACCGAATAGCTATGACCTTGCAGGTCCTAATAAGAACTTTTACTTTGTGTTGGGGAATCAGCAAAGGGTTGTTAGCAGAGAATCCATACAATCTGATTTCCATTTTAATAGAGATATTTTGTTCTATGAACAATAGATTTGGAACAAGGATACAATGTTAGGGGTGGGGAGACCAGTTAGGAGCCCATTATAATAACCCAGGAGAAGTAGATGAGAAGTGGCTGAGTTTTTTGTTTATTTAGAAGAGAAGGTAGACACAAGATTTGCTGATAGGATCAGAGGATCAGAGGGAGAACAGAACCAAGATTTTTGGCCAGAACAACTAAATTATTGGTATTACTATTTTTTGAGATGGGAAAGCTTAAGGAGGTGCTTTTTTGTCTGTGTGGGAGCATTATCTGAAGCTCAATTTTGGGGTGTGTTATGGTTTAGATATTAGGTGTCCTCCAAAAGCTCATATGTGAGAACAATACAAGACAATTTAGAGGAGAAATGATTGGATTATAAGAGTCTTAACCCAATTGGTGAATTCATTCATTAGCTGAGTGGTAACTGAAGGCCAGTAGGGTGTGGCTGTAGGAACTGAGTCCCTGGGTGCATGCCTTTAGGGTGTATATTTGGTATCTGGCAAGTAGAATTTCTGCTTTCTGATCATCATTTGAGCTGCTTCCCTACACCACATTCATCTGCCATGATGTTCAGCCTCACCTCATAGCCCCAAGAAATGGAGCCAGCCACCTATGGACTGAGGCCTCTGAAATTGTGAGCCCCAAAATAAACTTTTCCTCCTCTACAATGTTCTGGTTGGGTCTTTTAGCCACAGCAGCAAAAAAGCTGACTAAAATAGGATGTATTGAGTTTGAGATGGCCATTAGAAATGTAGAGGGTACATGAAGGTATATGGGTATGCACATCAAAAGAGGGATCTGGGGGGCTGGGATTGTGGCTCAGAGGTAGAGCGCTTATCTAGCATTGGGTTTGATATTCAGCACCACCTAAAAAACTAAATGAGTGGAATAAAGGTATTGTGTCCAACTACAACTAAAAAAACAAATGTTAAAAAAAGAGAGATCTGGGTTGGATATATTAATTTTGGAGTCATTTTTGAGCCAGGATGCAAAGAAAAGACCACCAATCCAATTTTAAACCAAATTAAAGCAAGCTTATATTTTGTACACAAGGAGAGCTGGCCAGTGGCTGTCTCACCCAAAACCTAGACCAAAGAACAGCCCAGCTCTCAGGGAAGAAAAGGTTTTTATAGCACAAAAAGTTACCAAGTGGGGTGTTCTTAGGAACTTACAGCTAACAGGTTTCTGGCAGACGTAATACAATGGCAATTAGTAGATTAATGATCTACATGGCTTGATATTTTAAGGTAGGGAGTAAATTCAGATCCCAACATCAGAATTTATAAGGCACCACTGAGGTTTCAGAGAGGGTTGTTGTCTGATCATGGAGAACCAGGATTTATGAGGTGCCACTAAGGTTTTAGGGAGGGTTGTCAAGAAAAGCCAGGAATGGGTGAGTTCAGAACATGGGCAAGAGTTCTAAACAAGTTTAGAAATCTCAGTATTTTATAGTAAAACAGAAATGAACTTTTCATGACTTTGTGACTAGATGGCTCCCAGTCTTAAGATGGAATTAGGCTGGGTTTATCAGTCATCAGCACATAGATGATGTTTAAAGCCATGAGACTAGATGAGATCACAAAAGGAGGCAGTGTAGATGGAAAATAGTTTCCCCTGATATTAAGCATTTGAGGAAACTAGAAGCAGCAAACCAGATGGAGGAAGAAGGCCAAAAAGTTTAAAAAACCAGGCAAGATGGGCAGTATCTTGGAAGCCAAGTAAAGAAGGGTGTCAGGAAGAAGGGAGAG